TATTCAATGGCAAGCAGGTGGACGATAACATTAACCACTCCAAATCCTTGATACTGAAGTAGTCAATGACATATTTAAGGTGAAGCCTCCCAGTGGTAGTGAACGCATATATATATATTTTTTTTTTTTACCAAAGTGTAGTCATTATTGCTAGAAATCGCTAATTGCAAACTGAACTGGTCTCGAACAATGATAACAAGGTGACAATGATATGCCACATCTTCAAGAACAAGTTTAGGTGGGATTGTTTACCTAAAAGTAAGAATTACCATAATGTGATCTAAAATCACCAATTGACCTGGAAAGATGTGAATGCTGAATGGAAATAGACAAGGTCTGTGATATTCAACGGTCATATATCTTGGTTGTATCTTGCTTTTTACCACAGTGTTGACCATACTGCAGTTCTGAGATTAGCTGCGTGTGAACACTACAAAAAGGAATGTATTGCCAATGGCCTGCCCTTGGAAGTAGTTCAAAAACGGCGTGTGAGCCGATTTGGACTTATGCACTTTGATCTTTGTTGTCGTATTCCACTGGTGAAGGTCGCTTATACTTTCATCCTAATGTAGGCCATGCAGGACCACATACTCATTGTGCAAGAGTGACAACAGACTACCAGGGAATGTAGGAGTCTACACATAAGAACTTGAATGAGACTGAACACGTGTGGGACATGTTGTATAAAGCCAGCTGTTTATAGATAACCACTAAACCACCAGAAACACCACAACACATTTCTTAGGCGAATGATAGCGCGTAGCTCAAAGCGCAATTGGTGTTTGATGCGAGATCGTTGTTAACATGTAATCCTTGGAAAGAGACGGTATCAGCCGGTATAGCAACGTTCTGTGATTGTTGAAACTGCATGAACGATTTTTCTGCTGCAATACAACAAATTATACATGTTGACAATGTGAAAAATCACTACTACGACAAACAACCAGCAATACCTAACGTTGTAAGAAATGTTGTAGTACACAATTAGCGGTGAGTAGAGATGAATAGCAAGTTTTTTATGTTTTTAGAAATGAGAAAATGTTTGTAATGTGTAAGAGAAAAGTGAATAAAACAGCAAAATAAATCTAGTTTTAAAATGGTTAATTATACAACTGACTGGTTATTTCAATACAAATTTTTGTCTACTTCTAATACCACATATTTTTTAATTTCCTATTTAGTTGGTCCACTCTCACTACAAACAAAATGTTGTCATTACGAACAATGCTTTTAATTTTCCTATTTAGGTGGTTCACCTTCACTACAGACAAAATGTTATTATTACGAACAATACAAATATGCACTTAAACTGTTTGAAATTTTAAGGCATACATATTTTAAGACTGTGTCTTCCAGACTGCCAGGTCACGTGACTAAAACATTTTCCTTGGCTAGTTTGTTTGTTGTCAATTTCAAAGCTACACAATGGGTTATCTGTGCTGTGCCCATCACGGGTATCGAAACCCGATTTCTGCCTTACTAATCCACAAACTTGCCGCTGAGCCACTGGGGGGGGGGGGCTTTCCCTTGGCTATCAACCATTAATATTTTGTCATTCGTGAATTAATTAATACATCAACTTGAGAGTATATATATATATATCTGTGTGTGTGATCTTCAAAGGTATGAATTTTATGGTTCAGTTATCTCGCAACAAGCAGGGAGAAATAAGTTACGACGAAAAACGTAGAAAAATAAGGTTCCAATTTTGTAGAAACAGTATATTTTACAAAGTAAAAATTGCTTTCATCCGTACGTAAATGGATTTATATAGTATCTTTTCTGCCAACCATCCACCCCCATTTTTTTAGGAGACTGATAACTTAAATATTAGTCTTTAGAACTATTCTGAGAAAAAAGGTAGCATAATTGTGACAGGGGGTTTAAACAAGCTTTTCTGCGCTACGGTATTATTTCAAAATAGATTTTATCTGGATTTTGAATTTTCACGCAAAACTACTCGACGGTTATCTGCGCTAGCCGTCCCTAATTTTGAAGACTAGAGAGAAGGCAGCTAGTAAACATCGCAACTCTTGAGCTAATCTTTCACCAATGACTAGAGGGATTGACCGTTAAATTATAACGCCCACATTGAAAGGGTGATCATGTTGGGCGATAGGTTTCAGTCCTGCGAACCAGAATAAACGATTATATAAACACAATATGAGCTTCGAATTGATAATATTGTTTTATAAAATTTTCTTTCAGGCTGCGTTACACATGATGAAAGAAAGTTCCATTTTCTCCATGTTGAACACTCGTGTGTGTGTAATACTAACCGCTTTTTCACCAGCAAAGGTACCAACTCACAAATGAGTAGACCGTGAAGTGATTAAAAGGAGTACTTGAATAAAATTCTAACCAACACGTTACAACGCATTCAATCTGTTCAACAGCTCTTGAGGTTTAAAAACTAGTTAAAGTATCTCTACATGAGCACTATCTCATGCAAAACGAAGGTGGAAAAGGCACATTTTCTTTTCTTCATTCTCCCCTCTTTTTAATACACTCAGCCTGATTGTAGAAAAAAAACAAGGGTAACGTGAAGCCGAAGTTCTTTCTGGATTGTTATCCTCAATTAGAAAATAGCAGAAGTAGACAGTGAGTATGCGCATTAAAACAAAAACAATAAGGTCGGTAGGCCTTTTATAAAAGCTTGAACTTGCATGCAATCGTTTCTTTGGCCATCTTTAAAGGTTTTTATTTCAAATTATATTACTATGAGAGCATAGAAACACGAGGGAAAATGCTTGAGCGCAACATCTTAATAATTATTATTTTTCTTTTTAAATATTAGATGATTTTTCATTTACTATTATATACTTAAATAAAAACAAAACAAGAAAAAAATACAACGCCACTTTCATGATAAAGCACAGAAGTAGCAGGATTCTGTTTAAACCACTTATCTCCATTCAACGATTTTCTGAAATTTTTGTAAGCATAGATTTTAGATATATATACAATTACATTTACGCTTATTCAGACATTACGAAGGATATCAAGACAATAGTTTTTTTTTTTTAGTTTTTTTGCATTAACAAGAAATACGCGTATTAATAACGTACTGGCGTCTGAATTTTGAAATTTTCTTGCTATTTCATTTACATAGTATAGAATAAACGCTGAAGCAAACAAAGGACAATGCTATTCGTCGTAGAAAAATAATTGTTTGTACAAAGTTAACACAATTCATCACTCTATTGTACTTAATTCTAAGTTCGTGCCAAAAATCAATCCAACGATCCAGAGCACACAGAAGAGACTAGGTGAAGTAACGATTATCGTTTTTTAACTCCGTCAAATAGACAGTCAAACTGCTGCGTTCTGTGAATATATTGACGAATCATTAAAACTTCAGAAAATAGGAATCGACGTTATTTTTCTACAAAAATGAAAATGTAAAATGACGATGTCATGGATCGATGAATGAATTATTTCTATTGAACGTTTTTTTTTTTAAAGACTGATCGTATATTGATGAACACCAGTGATGAGAGTCTGAGAAAACTTCACAACGGAAACGAATGTGGTGTATTACAAAAACAGGAGTACTGAAGGCGGAACACTGATCTCACAGACTATACTACTAAGCATTATAGACCCTACACATGAGTATCATGATTAGATAATTAGTAATACTGTTCCGGCCACCGAAGAGCAAGGCATATTCATGTGCTAAAATAATTTTTCTTCACATTACTGTCTAAGTGATAAAGTTAAATAATGAGCATTCGGTATACAGATAGCAGCTTTATTATGTAACTATGTCAGAAGGTCCCATAACGACAATGGTACAACGATTCAATATAAGTAATACTAGAAGTATCTAATTACGGCAACTGATGCAATGTCAGAAGGTCCCATAACGATATTAGTGCAACAATTTAATTTAAACAATGCTAGAAGTGTCTTAATTACGGCAACTGGTGTAACAATGGCATAAGGTTCCATAACGACAATGGTACAATGATTCAATATAAGTAATACTAGAAGTGTCTAATTACGGCAACTGTTGTTACAATTTCATAAGGCCCCATAACGACATTGTTGAAACAATTAAATTTATGTATTGCTAGAAGCGTCTAATTAAAGCAGCTGGTGTTACAATGTCATAAGGCTCCATAATGACACTGGTGCAACAATTCAACTTAAGTAATGCTAGAAGTGTCTAATTAAGGTAGCTTGTGTAACAATGTCATAAGACCCCATAAAGACACTGGTGTAACAATTCAATTTAAGTAATGCTAGAAGTGCCTAATTAAGGCAGCTGGTGTAACAATGTCAAAAGACCCCATGACGACACTGGTACAACAATTCAATATAAAGTTAATGTTACTTGTATAGTTCATTTAGAATTATTTGTTTTCGGATTTTTTCTCAAACTACTCAAGGACTATCTACAGTAATTTTGAATTAAGAAACTAGAAGTAAGGCGATTAGTTAATAACATCCACTGTCAGCTCTTGAATTATCATTGTCTGACTAAATAGTGGGGTTTGGCCACCACTTTTATAACGCATCCACAGCCCCAAAGTGGAATAGCGGTTTTGTTTATTTGTGGTAAAGGGACACGAAACTTGGAACTGTAGATCCACGGTTCGGCACACTAACCACTAAGCCACACTCAACCCGATTAATCTAGAAAAGACATTGGATTCTACTTTAGTTTTTAAGAGTGAAATATTAAACGACAACAAATATAAAGTTTGATCACTTCAACTGTAAGTTAACTAAATATCAGAAACATCCAAAACGTACGACAACTGGAACTATTTCTACCACTACCCAATAGTTACTACCAGACTGGAAAGTATCTAGGATCTTCTTTATTAGGCAGGGTACCAATGCTTTGAAATTTAGCTAAGAGTTGAGCGTTAATAACGACTGTAACATTATTGAATTATTAAAATAAAATGCCATCGTTACAACTATACATATATATACATTTACTTATTACAAATTGATAAGTATAGATAAACCTATCAATGTCCACTTACCAGAGAGAACACGTAACTCCGCTGCTGCTTTTACCGGTTCTCCTACGCCGTTTTCCGCTACACATTCGTAGATAGAGTTGTCTCTCTCAGGACGTACAGGCTCTATCCGGAGCACAGAGCCATTGGGCATATCATGAACAGCGTAGCGTTGGGTGGTGATTCTTCGGTTATCTTTCCGCCACTCAATCACGGGTTTAGGATTCCCAAAAGCGGTACAAATGAAACTAGCCACGCTGCCACTGATCACAGTCTGGTCTCGGGGAGACATCTCGATTCGAGGAGGGTCTGAAAAGGGGAAGAAAAAAAGAAAAGATGAATAGGAGGAAAAGTGTTAGTTTTCCTTTTTCTGGGAATGATGGATGAATCTCAAATTTGACCCTCACCGGGAGCACGGTTGAGAATGGTGAAAGCTTTCTCTTGTTGTTTGTCTTTACACACAGTTTACTATTGGTTAAATCCCCATAGGGAATCAATGTGTTAACTACTCTTCTACAGTATACGGATGTAGGAAGAACCCGTAAAATAAAAAGGATCGGCGAATGAAAAACCATACACATTGGAAAGTATTATCATTTTTTTAAATCAAAGCGCAGTCACATATCAATGCTTAATTCATGCAAACAGTCGTCTTTCCACATAAATACTTTTCTGCTTCACCTTAGTAGTATACAGAGTAAAATCTATCTCATTGTAGATACTAAAAACATAATTAAGATGTTTCTTTACTGTTCCATGAGCGTTTAGAGGGGTTTCAGCTACCCCAGCTTTTTAAGAAGTTTCAAAATAAAAAATAAAATACAAGTTATGAATTATAATGAATACTTTTTCGAATTTTGTATTCAAATAACTCGTACACGCAATTGTTTTAGAATACGAGATTTATTCGATTTTTTTTTGTTTTAGCGCAAAGCTACATAATGGGGTATGTATACGCGCTCTGTCCACCGACAGTAATCAGGCCCCGGATTCTGTAAAATTATTGATGACCCTCTGAGGGAATGTATCCCATTTCATAATTATCTAAGTTACACACGATACTAAGTACACGTATCTGAAATGTTTAGAACTTAGCCTCCTCTCTCACTGTAATTTCGTAGCAACACACGTTTTGATGGTGAATAAGACAAAAAATACAAATATACAACCGAGAAGGAGTGTTTTGTAACATTGCGCGGAAAAATATATTTTATACACTAAATACAAACATGTCTAATAAAAATAAATGTTATTACTCAGGTATGTTAATCTATTTAAAGCTGGCAAAGTTTAGGCTCACACATACCACTTGGTAACTGCTTTCAATTGAAAGACATATAGTAAATAACATATGTTCTTCAATCAAAAGGGCTTGAAAACAATCAAAACTGACGTTTTAAAGTTAATGAAAAATCTAATTTTATCCATATCAATTACTGACAGTCAAATAAATTATTTTACGGTCTGAGAAGTGGCACAAGTAATCATATTTATGTAACTGAACTTTACAAAGGCATTGTTTGTTTGTTTGTAATTCAGCACAAAGCTACACAATGGGCTGTCTGTGCTCTGCCCACCACGGGTATCGAAACCCGATTTCTAGGTTTGTTTAATCCGCAGACATACCGCTGTGTCACTGGGGGGAGGGGGCTAACAAAGGCACACTCACTTCCAGAAAAAAAAGGTGTTTCATAGTTTAGAGTGTAAGTTACATTTTAGTCATTTTTTAAATTCCTTATACTCCATCTGTTACACTTGAATATATGCTTGCTTACTCCTTTACGAAATAAGATTTCTTATCTACTGTGTAGATTGTCTTTTTTCACTCCCCTGAGAATTTTTGAAAAACTACTACTAAAGATACAATGAATTTTTATTCCTCACTTGTGTACTGTACTTTGCATACCGTTATGTTTATAATTGTAAAATCAATTGCATTTTAAAAAATAGCTAATATTAAATTAGAATTCAAAAGTGTTATTAATCGTAAAATCTGTCAAATATCTCTGTGATCCCAAAATGTGTATAAAATACGCTCAGTAGCATGCAGAAATAATACGTATGAGAAAGATAAAACAATGATATCATAAAAGCCAAGTGTCGGTCGGTCAGTCAATAGGTCACGCAAGCCCAATTCCACTTTTTCTTCTACAATACTTCCTCTTTTGATTGCCCATTCCCATTCTAGTTGAATTCAATCGCTAACAATTTCGGCATTTCTTCTGCTATATAAAAGTCTGTCAAGGAGAGAGTTTTTATACCAAGGATTTATTTAGCACCGAGTGAAAATAATTTGCCCTTTGTTTCTGAGCGATGATCGAGTACTTACAAGATATGAGGATTTAAGAGAAATATCTGCTAGGTCCATTGCGAGGAACTGAACCCCAGATTTTGGCGTTGTAATTCCGTAGACTTATCACTGTCCCATCGGGGGACCAGGTTCAAGAGAACTATTGCAATAATGCAATTGATTTGATAAGAAAATAACTGTGATCAATGAATGCTGAAACAAGGATCGATGCTGGGAAGAGACACTCTTTAGGTAAAGTAGATACTGCTCATGATAGACTTTGGTTCCTGAAGCTAGAAGGCCCTGTATTTTTCTTATGTCTCTTTACGGGCGGCAAGTGTATATTGTACGATTCAAATTTGGTAGGCTTTGGTTTCCCGTCATTTTTGAGGGGCTTTTATACTAGTCTGATTGAATATTTTAAGCATAATTTATAGTCGCTGGATTGGTAGGCATACTTTGTTGCTGTGAGCAGCGAGTTAAGTTTACTATTAGTTGAGTTGATGGCGAATTGTTTCTTTAGCACGGTGACGCAAGGCAACTAATTTTAATTTTTTAACCACCCTTGCCCAAATTAATTTACTAGTTCATTGCATACTGCGACATTTTAGCACGTCCTTGGCCACGCAATATGATTTTTCGGGGTTTAGGCGTAAGCCCTATCGACTTGCCCTTTAAAAAAAACGAAACATCAGCTAATTATAGGCCAACGGCGGTATCACCAATAGAATAATGTGTATATATATATACACGCGCACCTAGGCCACGACGTATTGGAAAAGTTGAATTAGGAAGAGTGTCTAAAAATTCCAGGTATCTTTTACTGCTTTTCCAATCAGCCCCTTTTCTATTTTTACATAATACAGAAATTAATATATATATATATATATAATGGAGATGTGTAAGCCTTATCCCTAGATCTTCTACTGTTACTTCGTTCGTCACATTAGCTGCTAATTATTCCATATTAATGTTTTTCATCTATTAACCAAGAACAGAATTCCACATTTTAAAGAAACATCATTTTGCCATACTAAGATAAAACTCATTATTACGAATTGAAACTCTTTACTGGTGATTAAACTTATGAAAGTTCACTTTGTAAATGCACTGCTGAATATTTTCACTACAGTAGCAGTCTTTTAAGTGATTTTATAATTAACCATTATAGTTATTATTTTATTGTTAAACATTGTAGCATTATATGAATATAAAAAACTCAAATTGCTTCTAAACAACTGATCAGTTAAGGATTATTCTTGAAACCTACACATCCCCTGTACCTTTATAAGTGCCCGCTGTCACCAAGTTAGAACTTAGACGTTTATGTAGCTAACTGCTAAATAATACATGTCACTTCTAATTTTAGGCTTACTGGAATTATATATTAGAGTTTGCGGGCAACTGGTATAAAATGTGAGTCATTATTAGTTGCTACACTTTAGGCCGTATTGTAGTAATTGCTGCAGTATTAGTGGACCCCGTATAGACAGACTGTATTGGCGAAGGCTGTGTATAAGTCTGCAGTATTTCCTTCATGTCTTATCCAACGAATATATTAACACTATACATATAATTGCCACTATCTGCTAATATGTAGTTTGCTTATTTCCGCATATATAAACCAAGATGTTTAAAATTATATTCTGATTTGAAACATCTTGGTTAATGAATAATGATATCAATGGAATGATTCTATCTGAAAATGCAACTACCATAACTTATATATCTAACACGTATACTATAAACCTTATACGAAAATAATATGTACTAAGGGAAAAACTCGTGCTTCGCGTACGATTTTTTTTTGGCTGTGGTTTTTTGTATTTGAATGCACAAAGTTTATGAAATATAAAGGCAGTGCTCTGTACTTAAAGTAATTGAAAGAGTTAAGTGACCTGCCTAGATTACTCACATATAGGGTTAGGTATGTAGAGTTGAACGAATCTTTTGGCCACGCGGAGCGTCTCAGAGACTGCGATATTAAACCTCGGCGGGTTAACCCTATTCCACACCACGTGATACCCACCAAACACCTCTAGTACAAAAGACTGAATCGAATGGTCTGATCTAAAACGAACAAATAGATGGACTTATCTATTAACGACGCTTACAAAACCTGGGTATCAGGGTCAAGTATCAAAACTTAGTGGCATTTCTCCCAAGTCCCCACTGAACAGAGTGACGGTACCTATAAACAAATGAAAAAATTCAAGCCCAAAACCTTAACATAAATTCTGATGTCTGAGATGGAGCTCTGAGGTATGACAGCTTCATTCCCCAAATACCTTTCTCTTTGCAATGCATAGTACTATCTACAGCCACCCCCTCCCATACGGATATGGTGACGTCGTCCATACTTTCTTACTCCTAAGTTAATTTTTGCGCAGGTTATTGAAGTTTAAAAAGCTTCCCACGCACGTTACCATTTTAATTATATAAATACTATAGTAAACCGTAATTAGTTGCAAGTTTATTCTTTGAAAATGAAAGAGTTTATACTAATGATGTTTATATGTTTTAGATACAGTTATTTATTGGGATGAAATAATTCGAGTTTGAAAAAATTAAGAATAACGTAAGGAAAATATTCCTCTCATAAAAGATGGGATTTATCTACATACCAGGTATTTCAAGATAAAATTGTTTGTTAGTAACGTGTTGAAACAACACAATCCTGTTAAACATGATCAGTATGTTTTGTATAGAACCCAGACTGGCTACCCACATCGCTTTTACTGTATGTAGGAGGAATTTTTTTCTTAAGGAAAGAGAAGGCGCTATCTGTAGAAAAATAAAAATTGTACTTGGCAGCTAGTCATCACCACCCACCGCCAACTCTTGGGCTACTATAAGTGAACAGTTTGTTTGTTTGATTTTGCGCAAAGCTACTCGAGGGTTATCTGCACTGGCCCTCCATAATTTTAAAAGGATAGATTAGAACGAAAACAGCTCGTCAACAACACATACGGCCAAATCTTTTACCGACACATTATAACGCCTCCACGGCTGTAAGGGC